TGAGGTGCGGAGCCATATTCAGCTCACATTCATTATTCACAGGCAAACTATGCTGATGTGGTGCGGATGCAGGAGTATGGTTATGTGTCGATACGTCCGATTGAAGAGACGCTGGCTAGCTATCTCTCAGTTGGTGAGGCATCTACATTGAAGAAGCCGTCTCCGCTGACCACGCCGCTGCATGTTACATCACGGCTGAATTGCAGAGCATATGCGGCAGCGGGTCAGGCTGGAGCGGCTTTGCACACGATGGCTGTGCTGTAAGCCTACTAGGCTGACCTGCTGAAGGACCTGCACCAGGGCCAAGGACTCCCCCCGGAGACAGTGGAAGAGTTGCGCCGTACTACAGATTTGGCTCCTTGGGTAAACCTGGTGGACATCTCTCGTTTTCGAGAGTCGTCATGCAGAGGCCTCCACACCTAGAGCTCGGCCTTCTACTGCGAGCGTCTCCTCTCACTACAGAGAGTTATTTCATTGAGGCCTCCGCTCGCCAGAGCTCCGCTAGGACATCATCTGTGAGTTGTAGGCTCTCTGTGAGCCTCCTTACAAGATGTCCTGAGCATGGGGCATAGTTAGGCCTCCTCTCGTTTTAGAGTGTCGTCATGCTGAGGCCTCCGCTCCTAGAGCTCGGCTAGGTATTGGCTAGGTAGTATGGAGTGTTGCTAGGCCACCTCTCATTTGAGAGGTGTTGTATTTAGGCCTCCACTCTGCACAGCTTCGTGGGCCAGTTGGCTCTGAATGTTAGGCTCTCTGTGAGCCTTCTTGGATGCTGGCCTCAATAAGAATGTAGTTAGGCTACCTATCTCCTGTTGAGGCCTCCATTTTTGAGAAGCTCTGGTCTATGGTCGCATTGCTGGTGCAGGGGTAAGGACTCCTCTGAGTCTCTGAGTTCAGCCAATAAGGCACTCATCCCCAGCATGGTGGCGTGGGTATATCGTTCCACATAGCGCCTTCTAGGGGACGCAGCGTAGGGTTCCCATTCGAAAGGGAACGTCTCAGGTCACGCATGAAACCATGGTTACATGTGTAACCGGAGACATTTGTGCGGTGCTGAAAAAGTGCTGTTAATGATTTTATCTGTTGTTCTTCTCTGGATGCATTAGCAGGACAGTCATCTTGGATTTTGCCTGATTGTGTTATTAGCCTCATTGTGGCTGATACAGGTCTGACCTTTAACCTTACACTGTGCTTAGGAGAATTACTGTAAATAATAATGGGGCAAGTGACATAATTTGTGGTTCCAAAAACAGTGAGAAGACAGTCTAATTATGTACTGGACTGATAAATTGGGACTGGGAGATGGATTATATGCACATATATGTCAGAGGGACATCTTACGGTTTTCAGTGTGCTGTGATGATGAAAGTTCCTTGTTTCAAGCTTTTTAATTGACAGAAACATAATCACATAGGTTTAACTGTATGTTGTTCAATACAAATAATTGTTAATGGGAGAAATTTAAATAAGAAATATGATTTCAGTTTACATTTTACTTTTTTATTTTTTAATTATTATTTTTTCATTGAAGTTAGATTTAAATATTTATTAAATGTATATAAATACTTTTAAATATAAATAAATAAATGTTTAGTTCATTACAAAATAATCCAAAAGAAAAAAAATCCAAACATACTAAGTTTTATTAAAACTAATACTTAAAATAGTCCAAAGGAGAGACACCTTGTCCCTATAGATAACCAAGAGAGAAGAAAAAAATGTAATTGAATGAATGAATGAATCAATCAATCAATTTGAACAAAAAGAGAATGAATCAGAAACATCTAACAGAAAAAAATAACCTAATATATTAAGTTTAGGTTTAGATAAGTTTAGTTTTATTATAAAATAAAAATTAAAATAATCCAATAGAGAGACACTGTATAGCCCAGAGAGTTGAAGGAAGAAACAGAGCTAAATGAATGAATGAATCAGTCAATTAATAAGTCAATCAATTAATAAAAAATTTTAACTGTAAAAATGTTATTTAAATGTAAAACTATTTATAATAATTTATTCCCCTTATATGTTTGCTGAAGCCTCCTGATGGGCCCTTACAGCTCTTTAGTATCACCCTTCTCATAGGTAAGAGGGGTCCATCCACAGAAGCATTGTTGCAGACCCTGTGAATTTTAGTGATGACACTGGTCAGTCTGAGATGAGACATGTTTGAATGATGCAGGGTCTGTGCTCTGAAAATCAAGACTATTGCCATGCAGATTGAGATGTCCTCCCTGGATTGTGTGCCAGTAGGGGCCGGCACTAAGACATACACACAGCCCAGTCCTAATGCGACTGAGACCACACCACTACGGTTGTTATGGCAGCAGCTCATCAGAGTGAGTAAACCCTGGGGTCAATGGGTTATTATGGGATGTCTGAAGTGGGAGGAGAGCTTTCATCATCTAGCCATGCGTTACACTTGTTCATTTCCCCTGAAAGTTCGAGTGATTTAAAAAAAATCTGTATTTTTAGTCTTATTATAATGGGGATACTCCGGTGGATCTGTTGTGTGGATTAACATCACAAAACTCTGAAATTTCAATACGTTTGGTCCCTACAGCATAAAAAGCCTTCAAAGCCATTTCACGATTGTGCAAGATGTGCTTATGTTGGCTTTAATTAGCATTAGTGGCATTTATGCTGTTCTGATATCATTTATTCTGGCAGCGGTGATATCAAGCTGATGTTCTTCTCCTCACTGGAAGAGTTTTATTGCTGCCTTCAAGTCATGTCAGAAAGATCTTACGAAGGTCAAATGAATGGCACAACAATAGCAAATTGTTTATGGGATGTCTGAAGTGGGAGGAGAGCTTTCATCATCTAGCCATGCGTTACACTTGTTCATTTCCCCTGAAAGATTTTTTAAAAATCTGTATTTTTAGTCTTATTATAATGGGGATACTCCGGTGGATCTTTTGTGTGGATTAACATCACAAAACTCTGAAATTTCAATACGTTTGGTCCCTACAGCATAAAAAGCCTTCAAAGCCATTTCACGATTGTGCAAGATGTGCTTATGTTGGCTTTAATTAGCATTAGTGGCATTTATGCTGTTCTGATATCATTTATTCTGGCAGCGGTGATATCAAGCTGATGTTCTTCTCCTCACTGGAAGAGTTTTATTGCTGCCTTCAAGTCATGTCAGAAAGATCTTACGAAGGTCAAATGAATGGCACAACAATAGCAAATTGTAATTAGCAAAGGGAAAACTTGAGGTTTTCTTTAAACGCTGACATTTTGAGTTGGGTTGTGTAAATTTAAATATATAATAGTGGAGCTTCAGCCTTTATTATAAACCTCCACAAAATGAGAAACCAACCACCATTTATTTGATCAAAGTTTCTCCACCTCATAGTGTGATCTGTGGTAGCAAGCATCAAATCAGAATTTCTTAATTTGCTTTTTCGTCCCCTGGTTATCAAGATTAATTTGACTTCATGAACTCCTAATCTTCAATCTCATTTCAAGGCCAATAAAAGCAAAATAAATAAATAAATAATTATAATAATAAATAATAAAATAAAAAAAATAAAGATACATAAAGAAAAAGGCTCCGGGACCAGTTACAAGAATGGGATGTAAAAGTTCCCAGGGGAAATTAGGCGTACAGTGAGTTTCTAATACAGACCAGATTAAAAAAATGCTGCCATTATACTGTTATTAACCTAATCAATTGCGGAGACCAGGACCGGACCTGAGCTGCTGTCTAAATTTAGTTTGCCATCATGAGGGGTTTTCTCATAGGCAGAGAATCTGGAGTAAAGGCTGAATGCAGGTCAGTCTGAGAAAAATGTGTCTTCTCACTCAGTTTGATATGAAGTTTAAAGCTGAGCTTCATTTTCCCTCATTAAAACCAATTGTTGACTGAATGATAAATAAATTAGCCAATTATATTGGAACTCTGTCATGTTAATGCATTTATTTGGTGTTATAAAGTGTCTGGATGTTAACGTTTGGTTCTGAGGCTCTTTTATTAAATTTGAGAAAATCAATTTAAATGGTTTAAGATGGTGATTTATATACGGTACAATATACTCTATACCAAAAGTTTGGGGTCAGCAAGATTTTTCATTGTTTTTATATGCTCAAAAAGGCATATAGAGACAGTAATATATTAACCTAGTTGCGGAGACCAGGACCGGACCTGAGCTGCTGTCTAAATTTAGTTTGCCATCATGAGGGGTTTTCTCATAGGCAGAGAATCTGGAGTAAAGGCTGAATGCAGGTCAGTCTGAGAAAAAGTCTTCTCACTCAGTTTGATATGAGGTTTAAAGCTGAGCTTCATTTTCCCTCATTAAAACCAATTGTTGACTGAATGATAAATAAATTAGCCAATTATATTGGAACTCTGTCATGTTAATGCATTTATTTGGTGTTATAAAGTGTCTGGATGTTAACGTTTGGTTCTGAGGCTCTTTTATTAAATTTGAGAAAATCAATTTAAATGGTTTAAGATGGTGATTTATATACGGTACAATATACTCTATACCAAAAGTTTGGGGTCAGCAAGATTTTTCATTGTTTTTATATGCTCAAAAAGGCATATAGAGACAGTAATATTGAGAAATATGTTTAATATTTTAAATAACTTTTTTCTATTTGAATATATTTTCAAATGTAATTTATTTCTGATGCAAAGCTGAATTTTCAGCAGCCATTACTCCAATCTTCAGTGTCACATGATACTTCAGAAATCATTCTAATATGTGATTGGCTGCTGAAGCATTTCTTATTATTATCATTGTTGAAAAAACAATTTTCATTTTTTTTCCCCCAGGATTTTTTGATGAATAGAAAGCTCAAAAGAACAGCATTTATTTCAAATAGAATTTTATAACATTATAAATGTCTTTACTGTCACTTTTGATCAATTTAATGCATCGTTGATGAATAAAATTAATTTCTTTAAAAAAAAAATCCAAACTTTTGGACGGTAGTGTATGTTTGGGCATATACGTATGCATTTCTTTAACACTTTCATCTCGTTCCTTGTGTTGTAGGCGCTGGTGACGGCTGCAGAGAACCTGCAGAAGGAGCACCAGTGGAAGGATGATCTTGATGTAATGCTTCACACATTCACATTTTGTAAACACTCCGAAACATGTGGAAGAAATGAGGCTGTGAAACTTTTACCTGGGCATGTTTTCAGTCAGTCCATCATTGGATAAGAATAGTTACTGGACACATTTAGACACGGCATTGCCTTAGTTAGGTGGTGAGATAATCAGTTGGGTTAGAAAATGTTGGCATCCTGGTCTCAGACCTTGCGTTTGTTGTAATGATGCATTTTAGGTTCCCACGGTCTGAAATATCAATTCTAATTTGCAGAGAAATTAATGTGATGTCTGCTTGTCTGTTATAGATTTGTCAGTCAAGTATTGTCCGAATGAGTCATCAAAATTTGTATTGCAGCAATATTTCATTTCTGAATCAGACTGGGTGGGGATTCACTATTAAAAATGCTTTTAACAAACAAACTTAATCTGATTATTAGAGTGATATTGAGAGATTAACATTATCACAACCAGAGGTGATTTGCCACAGATCACCTTTGCCATCATCTAATGTTCACTTAAAGTTAAATGTAATTTTTAGCAAATATCTAAATGAATATATATTTTTTTATTATGTACATTATAATGTTGTGATCATTGTTGTTATTAAATTAATGTTCAGTAAGTGAAATAAAGCTAAAATAAGTTAAATATTAGATGAAAAACTTCAAAAAAATGAAAAGTTAAAAAGGTTAAATAAATAAAATGTTGAATAACAAATTACAAATGTTGCTTGGCAAATAACTGAATTAAGTTTGAAGTACTACAATTACTAAAACTAAAACTGCAATAAAAATAATTTAAAGCTACATAGAAATAATAATCAAAATGACAAAAACACAACAGAATTGCTCAAATGAAAGCTGAAATTATAAAAATGTAAAAAGCTAATTTGAGATATTAATAAATGCTATGATAGTATATGGATAATACTATGTAGCATTCAAAACTTTTTTTTTTTTTTTTACTTTTTAATGTTTCACAAAATAACATTGAATTTTACTATCCACCATAATATGAAAATTGTTATTGGACAGTTCTAATTTACATGGTTAAAAAAAGGGTTTTACCATGATTTCATTTTTCATAGTTAAGATGTCACACTCCTGCTCATAGTGTGTATTGTGAATGCTTCTCTTCAAGCGTTTGTTATGTGCTACCGGTGACAGACAGAGAGGTTTTCTTTTTAATTATTGATGGGATGCAGGTAGAATCGTGTTAAAGACACAATCTGCGAATTCAAGAGTTTGATCCCATGCAGGGCTGACCTGTATGCGCATGTCTCAGTAAAGAGTGTCTGCCACATGATTAGCAAGTAAGTAGGACAGGTGGCGGCAGCCGGTGATGATCCACTCCTATGTCTCCAAGGCAACTGTATGTCAGATAGCGAGCTTGCTTGTTAACGCCTCACTAATGCTAGTCCTGACAGCGCCCTCACACTGTGAGGAGAACAACCCTGAGAGAAGACACACAAACACACACACACACACCTAAAACAACAGTACAAAATTTAACAACTTCCTTTTGTGAATGCACAAAGATTAGGTACAAAACTCTGTAAAAATACACAGAGAGCTAAAAAAAAAAAGAAAAAAAGTCACATTCTATTTCAATATACTCTTAGAGATGGACACTTTGAACAAAACATAAATAAATTGCAACAAATTGATGACTGATAAAATATAGGATGGAATGGTATGTTGATTCAAGTAAATTCTCATATACTTTCTTAATTAATTTCTTAAATAATAATAATTTCCTAAACGCTACTACTACTACTACTACTAATAATAATTTAAAAATAATATTTAAATCCAGCCTGCAGAAAATTATTGCTAAAATAAATTTGACTTCAGAGAGTCCTATATATGTCTACATGCTAAAATATACAAAATATCACAAATTAACATAGAAACACTTACAACTATATAACGCCTATAAAATTCTCGTGATCTTGAAATTTTAATCCTAAACAAAAATGTTGTCAAAACCTAAAAATAAATAAATAAATAAATATTAGAATGCTGGAAATGGGTGATTATGAAATATAAAACCAAAAAATGACCAATATAAAACAGGTTTTCTGTATATGTTTTTATTAGATGGTTGCACAAACCTACCCTGCAACCTTTTGGGAATGTTCATAATAGGCCTAATAATAATAATAATAATAATAAAAAGAACATTAATAGAATGCCCCACTAAAAAAATAATAAATAAAAACATATTGAAACCAAACTATATGAATATTCAAACTTTTGATAAAGATAAATAAAAACACTAAAGTCTTGTTCTGTCACTCTGTCAAACAGGTGAATGAGATTATCTACTACAATGCCAAGGACAAGGTAAGGTTTCATTTTAAAAATACATGCTTGCATATGAACTAAACAACAAAGATATGTAAATTAACGAGTTGCTTTTTTGTTGTTTGAGAGATTTATGCTTATTTTTATGTTCCTAGTTTGACATTAATGACACGGAAACGCACCAGAACCATGTCAAAGTAGAATTCAAAGAGGATCCAGTTTTCAAACGCCCTGTTTCATACAACACAACAGCAGTGCACATTCCTACTGATATCTACGAGGGCTGTGAGTACACACACACACACACACACACACACACACACATCTTTGCATGTGTTCTTTTTTTTACGACTTTGCATGGTAGCTAAAATATCAATTTATAAAATCAATATTTCAGTGACGGCTCGGCTTTATTGCTCTGTGTCAGGTGTGGACAGCCAGAGGCTTGTGGAAAAACTGCAGACTAAATTTAGAGAGCAGCCCAGCTCAAACACAGCACGCCTGGCCCCTGAGTGACCCCACAACCCCCCAGTATCCTCCAGCAAGAGAATAGCTCTCACTCTCTGTCTCTTGATTTAAAAGGTTATTGGTTATGAGTGTTTTGAGGTTACTACCAGTGGTGAGAAAATTACTGTAGATTATGAGTAGCCTGTAGCTTGAGTAGATCCAAGATGTTTGTTTCTTCATCGCAGCAAATTTGGAGAAATTTAGCATTACATCACTGTAACGTTGTTTGTAGATCGGGAAGAAGGAGGCGGGAACCGGCGAACACTTAAACAAAACTTTAATCAAATAAACAAACACAAAACGAAAGTAAGTAACAGCCCCTCGCGGATGACTGCCGCACACAAAACACAAAATAAGATCCAGGCCTGGTCCTCTCTCGTCCGACACTGTCGTCACTCCTCCCTTTTATCCTTCCGGAGCTCCTCCGTGAGACTCGAGACCGGTGAGTGGTGCAGATGTCGCTCATTATCAATTACTCCACCGGCCTCGCTCCGTTCCCACGGCTCTCGGCCCCGCACCCACTTGTCACAATCACTTGTTCACCAGTGGATCTCCTGCAGTGAATGGGTGCCGTCAGAATGAGAGTCCAAACTCAGTTAACATCTTGTGAAGTGAAAAGCTGCGTGTTTGTAAGATATAAAATCCATCAACACTTTAAACTGTCTCTTCTGGCCAAAATACAAGTCCATGATAACGCTTCCTCCAGTGAAAAAAAACATTCCATGTTGTCCTCTCACAAAATCCACCAACATTTTTGTTTTGGACTGTTTTTGCTTGTAAACCGTGCTTGATCTGTGCATATTTCTCTCCTGATTGAGACAAGACGACATTTTCACGGGAGAAAGCATTATTATGAATAGAGGACTTTTATTTTAATTATAGATTTGTTTCTTATAAACACACAGCTTTTCACTTCACAAGATGTTAACTAATGGACTGGAGTCATGTGGATTACTTGTTGATTATTGTGATGTTTTTAGCTGTTTGGGCTCTCATTCTGACGGCACCCATTCACTGCAGGGGATCCGCTGGTGAGCAAGTGACGTAAAGATAAATTTCTCCAAATCTGTTCCGAGAGACAAACTCATCTACATCTTGGAGTCAATTTTCACCAAATTTTCATTCTTGCGTTACGTTTTGCTCTGTAGCCCCGCCCTCAATAATCTGATTGGTCCCTCATAGCTGTATATTTAACATCACATGCATATGTTGGCTGTGATTTTGTAACAAGTTGGTCAAATCGGCTAGTGCTTTTGAGACGCGGTGTATCATTCTCTCTGTGTTGGCAGAAATCTGATCTCCTCAGCGATGGGCTCACTGTGGGCCTTGAAATTTGTGTGAGTGTTTCACAGGCAAATGAGTTTGATGTGATATTTGTGTTCTAGATGAGGACTGAAGCAGCCGTATTTATCATATGACTCATCTCTCTCTGTCCCGCTGTCTCTCTTTATCTACTTTTACTCATTTCAAATTACTCTTAGTACCTTTTGTTTTCCGCCTGATTCTCTTTGTCCGGCAGCATTGCTTAGTGCTACTCAGTGACAGCCATTGGGTGAAGCTTTTGGCCAGTATTTGTTTGCATCTTATTAAGACATGAATCTGTGCTTTTTGCCTCAACGCAGTGTGTCATCTGTCATCACAATCTCAAGATGGACATAGACATGCTCAGAGAGTGTGTGTGTGAGAGTGTTTATGTGAGACGGACTGAGCACAATGACGTGTCTGTCACATGGATCCCTCTGGCTGTGCTCGTAGTGTTCGGATTGTTTTTTCTGTTTGCCCTGATTCATTTAAACCAATGAAAGTTTGCCTGTCGTCAAAAATCGTATGCCACACACTCTCTCACTTTCTCTCTCACTCTCATTGAAATTATTTTAATTTGTCATAATCAGACCATCAGAAAAAAAAAACACAGTTCGCAGCAGCTCCTAAAGAAAGTTTGTTTTACTGTTATTGCAGTTTCACATAAAAAATGCTATGGCAATGATGGTATGATGTGGTGATTATTATTAACCAATAATTATTTGTGTCAGTGAGTGTAATAATTACTATTAAACCTATTACTGTTTAATATATTTAATGCTTTTTTATATGAACTACTATTTATTAATAAAAAAATATTATTCATATTTATGTTTAGGAAATATATAATCTCCACCACATGGGAGATATATGTCTATCAGTAAAAAGTCATGAAGACATGAAGACAAGTTGTGATTTTGTTCCTAATGTATTATTTTTGGTCTCATAATGTGATGATGATGATGAATATTCCACAAATGTGTCACCACATGGAGTTATGCAGAAAAAAAAAAGCTGTAAAAAGACGTGCCACAAGTTTTCTTTTTTATTTCATTTATGCACGTCACTTAGATGATTCATGTATTTTGATTTATAGCATGTATTAGGTCTCATCTCTTAATAGAATTTTATTTCCTTTTTTTTTTTTCCACCACACACTTGGTATTTGGCGATTGTTCATTTTGGACCCTAAGTACCGTTGTACACTTCCAGTTTCTTTTTGTAATGGGACTTTGATCTTGAGCTGTTTGCCCTGATTCATTTAAACCAATGAAAGTTTGCCTGTCGTCAAAAATCGTATGCCACACACTCTCTCACTTTCTCTCTCACTCTCATTGAATAGAGCTATAAATTATTTTAATTTGTCATAATCAGACCATCAGAAAAAAAAAACACAGTTTGCAGCAGCTCCTAAAGAAAGTTTGTTTTACTGTTATTGCAGTTTCACATAAAAAATGCTATGGCAATGATGGTATGATGTGGTGATTATTATTAACCAATAATTATTTGTGTCAGTGAGTGTAATAATTACTATTAAACCTATTACTGTTTAATATATTTAATGCTTTTTTATATGAACTGCTATTTATTAATAAAAAAATATTATTCATATTTATGTTTAGGAAATATATAATCTCCACCACATGGGAGATATATGTCTATCAGTAAAAAGTCATGAAGGCATGAAGACAAGTTGTGATTTTGTTCCTAATGTATTATTTTTGGTCTCATAATGTGATGATGATGATGAATATTCCACAAATGTGTCACCACATGGAGTTATGCAGAAAAAAAAAAGCTGTAAAAAGACGTGCCACAAGTTTTCTTTTTTATTTCATTTATGCACGTCACTTAGATGATTCATGTATTTTGATTTATAGCATGTATTAGGTCTCATCTCTTAATAGAATTTTATTTCCTTTTTTTTTTTTCCACCACACACTTGGTATTTGGCGATTGTTCATTTTGGACCCTAAGTACCGTTGTACACTTCCAGTTTCTTTTTGTAATGGGACTTTGATCTTGAGGGAAGTTATTTGTGCTAATTTTCTAGACAGAAGCTAATAGAGGTATGACCGAGAGAGAGAGAGAGAGAGAGATCTGGTTGTATGGGTGTTAGCTAATGAGGATGTGTGTGGTGTCTAACCCTGCAGACTGACAGCCTGATGGATGAACAACAGGAAGGGGTGTGAAACCACGTCTAATCTGACTGAAAACTCACACACACACGCGCACACAGAAGAACAGCTACATTCTCATTCACTAATGCACTTCCTTTAGGATCAGTAAATTGTGATGCCTTCATGGACTAGTCTCCTATATGCGACAGCCTTAACTTTCACTGTTGACCTCTGACCTCCAGAGTCTTTATGTAAAGAGATGACGTGTATAGTAAGTGTGTGTATGTATGTATGTGTGTGTGTGTGTGTGTGTGTGTGTGTGTGTGCAGGAGTGATATCCTCTCGATGATACAAGCTTTCATGATTCTGCACTGATCCTGCAATTTAGCACTCACACCGCCACGGCAACCGTTTCCACGACACCACTATAAAGATTATTGTGTTTGCAGAGCTGTTTCCTGCTTCAGTGTGAGAGAGTTTGGTCCTAGTTGATGGCTTGCCATATTTATTTATTTATTTATTTATGTGCATTTTAGTTAACTAGGTACAATTATTGTGTAACAGGTGTTGTCTCTGTATTTTATTTTTTGATCATGTGATCATGTACATGCATATTTATTTATTTATTTATTTATTGTGATTTTTGTGTGTAAATTAATCTAGTTAACTAGGCCAAATTATTGTGTAGCAGGTTTTGGTACTGTATTTCATTTAATGATCATGTATATAAAGATTTTAATTTATTGGCTAACATTGAGGTTGTTGAAAAAATAAGTAAATTCCAGCAATTTCCAGCAAAAGTTTTATGAATTTATAGTCTGGAGTTGTCTGTATAATTATAATACATTAATAATTTCTAGGTATCATTTGCATATTTTCTATATAAAGAAAAACTTGTAAATTATGTAAAGATTGTATAACAAGTAATATTTTTTAAATATAAATAATAAATTAAATAATAATAATAATAATAATAATAATACTTGTAATACAATTAATAAATAATAATGTATGCACTATTAAATTCAAATTAAAAAGTAAAATTAAGAAAGTAAAATTCTAAATGTAAGTAAAGAAAGTAAAATTCTAAATTTAAGTAAATATAACATGTAAATATACATTTATTTAAATAAATTTAAATTCATCAAAAAAATGGGCCACTGAAGGTATTGGCAGGGCAACTAGAAATATGGGACAGCCTTGCTGTTGAGCACCTGTGTGTGTGTGTGTGTGTGTGTGTGTGTGTGTGTGTGTGTGTGTGAAAGGCGCTGTTCCTTTACTCGCTATAAGTGTCCTAACATGGCATGGCAATTTCTAGCGACAAGTGATTTGTAATTTGTCTGTCCACACTGAAAGTGAAAATGCGGAGCGGCACTACACAGTTTAACGCAATCAGAAGATGTTGAATTTATGTGCAATTTTGAGGAACAGGATTTTGGAGCGCTGAGATTTCGCCATGGCTTGCTAAAATGACTGGTTAGGACAAAAACTCAGATTTAAATGGGCGATCGCTGTTAGGTTACAAACTGTTTATGATTAACTCTCTTGAGCATACTTTTTCCCAATAATGGTTTATAAACTTTTTCCATACATATTGTTTACTATAGCCAACGAATTAGTATATCAGGAAGGACTGGAAGGAAGTGGTAGAAATAGAGAAAGATGAGATGTGCCATTGGGCTGCTGATGGACCCTCTTAAGATGATCGATAGGGTCTGGTCTGCTTTTGAGTGACGGAGAAAGCCTGTATTGATTACACACCTAGAGTGGGAGGAGTCGTGATGGAAAGAGGAAGTGGGTAGCATTGGTGGGGTGGTGAAAGACGTCCCTCAAACACCGGCTCCTTTCAAAATGAGGCTGTCAAAGTGGTAATGATTCTAATAATAATTTAGTATCATCATAATGCTTAAACTAAACCCACAGAAGAAAGAGATATCAAAGGCTTTTTTGGGAATGAGTCATGTGGCATCATGGGGAATGATGTCATATCTTTGCCAGGGCTCATTTTAAAATGTTATCATCACTCTCACTTACAGCAGACATAGTGTCCATTTACGACCCAATTTTCCTGTTATTCCATTAGAACTGCATTAGCTAATAGTTCACTTTGTTGTTTCCTCTACCGCAGCTTCTCCTTCAAGTGGTTTATCACTTTGAGTTCAGCATAACATGATGGGATCTGAAGTTTTGAGAGCCAGAGTATTGATTTATTCCTGATTTGGGGTTCATCTGAGTGTTCGTTAGAACAAAGCTCTCAGAAAACATGTCAGCTTGAGTTAACTGCTTTACGTCGAGAATGGGATTTATTCTTTATATTTACGTGTTTGTAACAGCCACTATAATCCTGAATGAGCTAAACTGGACTGCGGCTCTAGATGAAGTCTTCAAGAAGAACTGGGAGAATGACCCGTCCCTCCTCTGGCAGGTGTTTGGCAGTGCAACTGGCCTGGCTCGATACTTCCCAGGTAAAGCACTGGAATGAATAGGAACTCCGTGTTATCAAGAAGTTTCATTATTTACAGAAATTTACCATAACACAGAGACTACGGAAAGCACACGGACACTATATATGCAGCCATTGCAGGACATTGTTCCTGTCCCAAATGCGTTTCATCTGATGGTGGGACGTGAAGGTGGCATTTGGAACAAGGGCTGTAGACTAATGAGATAAGGGTGAACACAATAAACAGGGCAGGAAATCAAAACTGAAAAGCAAAAACAAGTGCACAGAACACAGACAACCTCATGTTAGTAAAAGGGAAGTCATGAGTGCTATATGACTATTAAATGACATCAGATTTCCAATGATATAATTTATTGAAATTATAAATGTAATGCAAGTCATGATATTTTTAGATGATTCACCTCTTAGCTGTTGTTTCATTTTTTTCCCTTTAGAATCAAGATAATATTACACTTATTTGAATTACATTGTATTAAATTGATATTTAATATTATTATTATTATTATAATTAAATATTAAGTAAAATTAAATATTTAGTATTAAATACTGTGATTATTTATTTAATTGTTTGCTTGTTTGTTCTTATTTTGTTCATATATAACAGACCTATAAAACCTATGTCTACTTGCATTAAAGAGCCACTTGATACTTGAAAATGTTTTATCTACTTTATTAGAAGTGATAGTAGAAGGTTGAACAGTAATGAACAGTGACTTTAATCACCTCTTAGCTGTTTTTTTTAATTTTTCTAACAGTATCAAAATAATATTCAGTTGATTTAAAATTATTATTATTTGAATTAATATTAAATACTAAACCTATATTTTAAATAAAATGTTATATTTTGTATTGAATTATTTTTTTGTTTATTTTTCATTCATTCTTATTTTGTTCATGTAACATAGGCGCATAAAACCTATTTCTACTCACAATGACTGGTACTTGAAAATGTTTTATCTTCTTCATTAGAAGTGATTGTAGAAGGTTGGGAAGATAATAATCGTAATAAACCCAATATCCCATTATCCCATGTGCTCTAGCTTCCCCTTGGGTTGACACAAGGAGCACACCAAATAAGATTGACCTGTATGATGTACGCCGAAGGCCCTGGTGAGCAAACCTGTGATGCTGGAGTTTATATGTGTCTGCTTGTGAGAGAGATAGCAAGTGTTGTTTTTTCTTCATTTTCTCTCAGTTGTTATGCCTGATGTTTTTTCTTGCGTGTGTGTGTCTGTGTGTTTGCAGGTATATCCAAGGTGCAGCTTCACCTAAAGACATGTTGATCCTGGTGGATGCGTGAGTGAAGTCTCTATGATTCACTTTTATAGTTCATACACTCACTGACACAAACCCACCGAGCTGTTCAAGTTACCGGAGTCTTTCTTGCAACTGATCCTGTTTCGATTTTGCACTTTGCACTGCATTTTGCAATTGGTTGATCAGCAGAATGTCATTTTTCATTGCATGTGACACATTCCACACTGTCTACTTAAAGAGCTCATGCTAGTTCTGCATTAGTTCTGAGACATTTATCAACATCAGAGAGAGAGAGAGACGCTGATTAAAGACGGACACAGCGTGGCAATGAGCCAATGAGAGGTGAGAGTAATAAACATTACATTGGAAATCTTTGACAGGCAGTTAAATAAGCTTGTTTTAAGCAATTTATGAATATTAAACAGTGCAAGCAAAAAAAAGCACCTTTTTGTTCTGATGATGTGCCTTAAACTGTTATACCCCACTTATTTGTCATTAAATATTTGAAGAAGCACATTATAGTCATGCTTGGCATTTAATAATGTAGATGTAACTGAAAAGTCAGTTACAGATATGACCCAGAAATATACAAAAGCCATCAAAAACATCATTAATGTGTCATTATGTGGTATATTTGATCATATTTAAGGGGCGTCTCTTGGTTACAAGTGTAATTAGCCTTGTTGTATTAGAAGATTTGGCCTTGAAGAGTTGATTCTATTATTGCTCAGCCGTAATGATGATGGTGTTGTGCTGTCTGGGCATTGAGCCCATTAGTGTAGATCAGCTTTAGCCAATCAAGGTAGTTTAGCTTCGTGACTAAACACTAAAGCCCACACACCTCCCGCTGGAATCACAGAGTGATTAATAACCCATAAAAATATGATCCAGCATGTCAGTTCTGGAGCCATTAAAAGCCTAAATGGGGGTTAGTCTTTTCTATATGTGCTGTTTTGAATTTTTGTTTCCCCTCAGCTTTTTTCCACCTATAGTTTTTTGAGCTATCAGCTCTTTGGGCTATTCATAGCTAAAGGTGTCTCTCTTTTGGATTGATTTATTGATTGATTTTGATTGATTATCTATCTATCTATCTATCTATCTATCTATCTATCTACTTACCTACCTACCTACCTACCTACCTATCTACCTACCTACCTACCTAGTTTTTTTCAGCTCTGTTTTTTCCCTTCAGTTCTTTGGGGGGTCCATAAATTGTCACTCTCTTTTTAATCATTTTATTTCATTAAGCTGTTTTCAGTTAGATGTTTGTCTTTAGGATTTAAAAAAATTTTTTTTATTAAGGTAAAGTTTTTAATAAATTTAATAAATAAAAATGTCTAAAAATAATAAATAAGCCTAGTAACTAATAAAAACCCTGTGAATGGTAGTGATTATATAGTAACAAACATGTTCAAACTATGTTCTAACTATGCTATTCTCCATAGGAGTGGAAGTGTGTCAGGTCTGACACTGAAGCTCATTCGCACTTCCGTCAGTGAGATGCTGGAGACTCTCTCCGATGATGATTTCGTCAACATCGTCTCTGTGAGTATACAGGAGATATGTGTGTTGCTGAGAGTGTTTAAATGATAAACTCCTCCGACGCTCCTCAAAAAAAATCTGGATTCCTGCTGAGTAGGAATAGAAAATTGGAGGGAAACAGAGGCAGGGAGCCTCCAAGCATCCATAACGTCATAGCTCATTTTTTTTGCATTTTCAGTTAGGCACCGCTGAGGCGGCAGGCCAAAGAATTATTGATGTTTCCCATCATCCTCTGCTTCAGACGCTGTGCAATTAATTTATGAAATGCATCATTTATTTCATTTTGTTCGTGAGACTACTGACAGGAATAAAAATAACAAACTCTATATTCTGCTTTTAAGTGAGTTGTTTTGTATATTTTCAATTATTAACTTTCTTCCTCCATATCTTTAATAGCTTTACGCTTGTATTTTATGGCCTGACTCCAGCTGTGTGACGTTAGCGTGGCATTAATGAAATTAGCCAGCAGTGCTCTAAGTGTATTGCTGGCACTGAGCCATGGGACTTACATAGAGGACCCGAACAAAGCCTTGAATCTAAATGATGCAAAGTGATTTCATATAACAGTGCTTGCGTGTATGCAAGCTGCACCTCACAGTTTTACATAGATTTTTACAAATAACTTACCAACTAACTACAATGCTTTTATATGATTTCAGTTCAACAATTCGGCCAAGTCGGTCGCCTGTTTTGAAAACCTGGTCCAAGCAAATGTCCGCAATAAAAAGATTCTGAAGGAGGCGGTACAGAAGATCACAGCGAATGGCACCACTGACTATAAAATTGGCTTCAAGGAGGCTTTTAACCAGCTCTCCTCAGTAAGTATATATAATGTAGCAAATTATGGGACCATAATATGACTTTTTTTTTTATACAAATATAATATTTACCGTCCTACACAACATAGATATATACACAACATAGAATTTTTTGGTCTTAATATACAAGTAAATTGCAAGTATAAAATATATTGCGTATTGTGTGTGTGTGTGTGTGTGTGCATATTTTCACACCACTGTATATATATATATATATATTGAGATGATACAGAATCTCTGCCAGATAGCCAGTCTAACCTTTGTTTAAATGCAAGTTTTTAGTTTATTGCGCCATCTTGTGGACTGTGCTACTCATAGGTTGCTCAGCAAAACTTCAGTGTATTTAAGATTTAGTATCAGCAGCAGTGATTTTTAAAGCTAGTGGCATCACAGTGATTTATTGTATTTCTTCCTTTCATAGATGAATGTTACAAGAGCAAACTGTAACAAGATTATCATGCTATTCACTGACGGAGGAGAGGACAGAGCTTCAGAGATCTTTGAAGAGTACAACCCTGACAAGAATGTGAGGAACCACATACACACACACACACACACACACTCTCTCTCTCTGGTAGTCCATCGTGTCCGATGATGACTTCTCCTATTGTTTGCGGGTTCTTTGATGACTATATAGTCCGATGCGAGAAGCACTCTCTCTTTAACAGACAGGGCATGTAAAAATTCTCCTGGTCTTGGCGGGGAGGGGAAGGAACAAGCATGGCCTGCTTTCTCTTCAGCCTTTTAGACAGGCGAGACTCAGTTCTCTTGTTCTCATAACGTTTGTACTCCATTCTGGTAAAGTTGCTGCCAAACTGCGATTCATGGCATTAGCTTCCCAGGATGTGGGCTGTGTCCCACACTTCTTAAGGAGGGCTTTTAGTTGGTCTTTCAGCCGATTTGTTTGACCTCCTGCAGAACGGTGGCTGAGATGTAACTGACCATACAGTACCTTACATGGAAGGCGATTTGGTGGCATTCTGATAACATGACCAAGCCATCTCAGTTGGTGAAGCATTATGGTTGGTTCTAGACTACAGCAGTTACTTAGTAAAGAATTTAATGTCTTTAGGTTTTGAGCATAGATAATCCATGTTTCGCGCACAGACACATTTCTATAAATCAAGACACGCCATAGACTTCTACTGTCTTTATGTACAGCTAATAATAAATGCTAAACACTATCATTAACAGAAAATTTGTATTGCTTTTTTAACATTGATATACACGCTACCTTTCAAAAGTTTGGGGTCATCTTTAGAAGAAAATAATACTTTTAATTCAGAATGGATGTATTAAATTGATCAAAAGTGAAAAACATTTATAATGTTACAAAAGATTTCTATTCAAATAAATACTTTCTGTTCTATTCAAAATTCTTGAAAAACAATGTATCACACTTACCACAAAAATAGTATGCATTATTATATAAGCATTATTATATAAGCAGCACAAGAAATATTGCTTTAGCACCAAATCAGCATATTAGAATGATTTCTGAAGGAGCTTGTGACACTGAAGACTGGAGTAATGACTACTAAAAATTCAGCTTTGCCATCACAGGAATAAATTACATGTTTGAAATTGTAATAATATTTCACAATATTACTGTTTTGCTGTGGTTTTGTTTAAAAAATGCAGCCTTGGTGAGCAGTGAGAAATCTCTTAAAAAATTATTATATATCATTTTTACAGATAAGGATGTCCAAATGGCTTTTTTTTGTCCAGAAAGTATAGCTAATATTAACATACATACACATAATTTTCCAATATAGTCATGTCAATATCCTTTGTTTCTCTCTTTTCTGTCAGGTTCGAATCTTCACCTTTTCTGTGGGCCTGCATAACTATGATAAGACACCAATTCAATGGATGGCTTGCAATAATAAAGGTAAAACACTGAAATTGAATGCTAAGAAATTTGAGAGACTTATGTATGTGATATATGATCATGTATTAAGATGTTAATGTTTCCTTGCAGGTTATTATTATGAGATCCCCTCTATTGGAGCCATCAGGATCAACACCCAGGTAAATGACTGAATGATGTGAATTCTGTCCAGCATATATGATAGTAACCGGCATCCTTTACATGCAGGAGTACCTGGATGTGTTGGGTAGGCCCATGGTGAAAGAAGACAAGAAAGCAAAAAATGTGCAATGGACCAACATTTACGTGGACGCTCTAGTACGTCAAATGTTCTATATATAGTAGATTTGTTAAATTAGGCTGATTCTGAAGTATTGAATAGCTGTTGTGTTTGTATTTGTGTTGCAGGAATTGGGTCTTGTGATTACAGGCACTCTGCCAGTGTTCAATAAGACCAGCACCAGGAAGAGTCAAGACAAGAATAAGGTGGAGTCTGAGAACAGTGAATTGATGTCTTGTGAATCAGATGAACTGAAGTGGAACCCGATCTGTTTTAATGTCCTTGTTATCAATTGCAGAACCAGAGCCAGTTGATTTTAGGGGTGATGGCCATAGACGTGTCTCTGGGTGACATCAAGAGACTGACTCCACATTACACTGTAAGGCGTGAGAGCGTGTGGGTGCATTCTGCACTTTTTAATTTACAAATGATAGTTTGCAACATTGAAGAACTTGCATAAGCATTGCATTGACCTGTAGCAGCTGGGTCATGTTACCAGTGCTACTACATTCCTTGTGTTTAGTAAATCTTGTTTTTTTTTGTTTTTTGTTTTCAATGTCAAATAAATTTAAAGGTCATATTATGTTAAACCATTTTCCTGATTCTTTTGAAATAAAAGTTTAATATTAAATATAGACAGACATACTATAACATACATACTCAATGAAAGCAAGGAAAACTTTTTTTATCTGATTTTGACCTTTTTTTTTTTCTTTTTTTTTTTTGAGTTCACATGGTTAATGTCCTAAATTTACAGATTTGATTAGTTTGAATTTTATACACATTTTATGTAATAAAGTTTTATTGTTTTTATGTTTTTCACAGTCCTAAAACTTTGTATATTTTAAGGATGCACTGATATTTACATCTTGGTTGATACTTATAAGCCAATAATTATCACATTTTTAAATGAACGAAATAAATGTTTTATTATTATTATTATTATTTCAATAAAACTAAAATAATAAATAATAAAATACTAACTAATACTAATACTAAAATGCTAACTAATACTAAGGCTAAAACCAGTTGTTATAAATGCTACAAGTGAATTTAGGCATCAAAACATAATAACGTACAATATTATAATATAATATTATAATATTAATATTCATTTTGAGATTTGCTTAAAATTATATTTAGCAGTGTTAATATCCAGTATCAACTGATACCAAAAATTTGTGTAATTCTCTAAACATAATTCAGTAAAAAAAATTCTACTGATTTCTTTTTCTTTCTTTCTTTCTTTCATTCGTTCTTTCTTTCTTTCTTTCTTTCTTTCTGCCATCATCAATATTTAAGTATAGATTGGAAAACAGGAAGAGAAAGCACTATATTTTATATTTAATACCTATTTTAATAGTTTTACTTGAACTAGGCTTCAGTATTTCTTAAGAATGGGATTTTTTTTTCTGTCTGTGGATACTGAGCAGCAAAAATTAATCATCCAAGCTTAAACTTACGATGAACTACTTGTGCCAGCCTGGTGGGAGTGTTTATAAACATTTCACATGCAAAAAGGTTAGCCAATAATAAGAAACATCATTTACATGTAGCAGTTTTAAAGGTACAGTAGCAAAAACACCCTATCAAATGTTACAGAATAATTATCACTCTTGTCTTTTGTTGTATAAAGCTCGGACCAAATGGATATTACTTCGCCATCGACCCCAACGGCTACGTGCTGCTTCATCCCAACCTTCAACCAAAGGTACGACTCTCACTCGTGCCATCACTGTATGTTTCTTTCTCTTATACTAGAAGTAGTTGCCCATAGCCATGTGTATGATCAGTTATGCATGGCTGAAGAACCTTCAGTACAGGTTATGATGAAATAACACAGGCCACCCACATCTACAGAGGTCATCTGTCCTTTTGTAATAAATATCATTTGTGCAGTCCAAACACAATCGTTCTGTTTAGTTCACAGATGAAACGGCAAAGAGAGCATTTATTCAAAACACATGCATGACAATTAGTAAATGTTTAGTCAGTGATCCATGGGATTAGTGAACACTTTGTGTGGAACAAAGTAGATATGCTGAGAAACAGTTCTTCAAGGAAAAAGTGACTCATTGGTAAATATTTCCGCACACAAATATGGTGTCCAGTATTGATTTATGGTATTACTTTGAAAGTTGTTGTTGTTTGCCTGCAGGATCTCAAGCCTCAGGAACCCATGACATTGGACTTCTTGGATGCAGAACTAGAGGATGAAGAGAAAGTGGAGGTGAGAGCAAACTTCTATGATGTTCTTTCTCATCTTGAACACACACACACACAAATAAATAAATAAACTGTATACTATAACATACATATAGTATGAAAGCAAGGAAAACGTTTTGTCTGATTTTGGCTTTTTTTGTTTTAGTTCACATGCTTAATGTCCTAAATTTACAGATTTGATTCGTTTTTTGAGTTTCATACACATTTTATATAATAAAGTTTTATTGTTTTACACTTTTTAAAGTCCTAAAACTTTGTATATTTTAAGCATGCACTGGAATTTTAATTGTATCAATAAAACTAAAATACTAAATAATAAAATAAAAATACTAACTAATACTAATATAAAATTCTAACTAATACTAATGCTAATATACTAACTAATACTACCAGTACTACCAGAATTTTCATTTTTTGGTGAACTATCCCAAGCTCAAAAATATATAATCAGCGTTCAGATTCGAGCTCTCTTGTATTAAAATGAATACAGGCTGGTGTGATTTGATTTTTTTTACTTTACTTGTGCTCTGTTGTACAGATGTTCAAGTCATAACAAAGTGATTATTGAAGCATCAACAAACGGCAAAGTTGATTCTCAGTCCTGTGTGATTTCATAATATGTAGGCTATAAAAATATCATTTTCTCACTTCACAACCCAAATTACTCGTTTTCTCGCTTGAGAGTGACTAAGAGGATATTAGATTACACTGGTACGTGAAAGCTGTCTCTTCTTTTAGTTGAAAGTGACACTATTTGCTTTAGAAGATCCAGTAACGTACTGTATTTACAGTAATGGTACATCAGTGACACATCTGTCTGTCTGACTTCTGTCTGTCTGTAGATCAGAAGAAGTATGATAGATGGTCAGAAGGATCAAAAGAGATTCCAAACACTTTTGAAGTCTCAAGATGAGGTAATCATGCATGCTTTAAACCGGAAGTGCTTCTCAGCTGATTTTGCTTCAGAACCCAGTTTATTATTATTTTTTTTTTTTTTGTTAGAGGTCAAATGGAAACAACATAAAAATTATTTACATTTTAAAAAATTGTACAAAAGCAAACGAAAATAGCCTTTAAATGTTAAAATGTATTCATTGTATTTTATTATTAGTTTCTAAATACCTCTGGTAAAATTTAACTGCAAAATGTTTTATCTTAGCCATATTAATATATCATATGTTTCTTTTGACAAATGACAGATGAAATTACATTAAAATGGTGCAGAGTTGGATTAGCCAAACAGCAACAACAACAAAAAATTCTGCTCTCTTTTAAATGTTTTTGGGTTGCAACCCACCGGTTGAGAACCACAGGGCTATGCAATACTAGTTATTCAGAAGTAAAACAGAGATCAATAGTTCATTAAACCACTAAGTGTTATTTTATTCTTATTGCAGCACTACATAGACAGAGGCATCAGAACCTACACTTGGGGTCCAGTCCATGACACAGACTACAGGTCTGAGAAACCGTTTTGTTTTGTTTTTGTCTTATGTCTTGTTTTGTTGTCTTTTTTGTTTTGTTTTGTTTTATGATTTTCTTTGCTTTTGTCTTGTTTTTATTTATTTATTTTTTGATTTGCTTTGGGTTTGTCTCGTCTTGTTTTGTTTTTGTTACGTGTTTTTATGTTGTGAAGGTGTGTTTGTCGTACAAGTGAACATATGAATGTTTTTTTTTTACATTGCCGCCAGGGGGCACTGTTCAAAGTCACGTTGAAGAGTGTTCAACAGAAATTTGACATTATACTTCTTCCATAAGGACACAGATGATCAAAATAGAGTAATTTACTTTTACACTTACATTTGAGTTGGAATCTGTAAATTGCAACCTACATGGACAAAAAGCTACAAAACTCCAATTTTAATTTCACAGGATGTTAATTTCTCAATTTGTATAATGTCAGGAAGTCTACTGCTCTTCATCCTCATTTATTTCTTGTGTCTTCTGTCTAGTCTTGCTTTAGTTCTACCTGATTACAGTGTCAGCTACATCAAGGCCACTATACTAGACACCATCACTCAGGCCAAATGTAAGTACCATAACTCACATTCTCGCACCTTTATCAAAGAGATTGGAATGCCAGTTTTGCTCAGAGGCCAGAAGCCGTAGCATGAGCTCCTGGTTTTTATCCAGAGAGTCCCCTACAGCTCAACCCTACACCGTCTGTCCATTTCACATCTCTTTTTTGACACCCTCACCTCCTCCGTAGATGTAACAGCATGGTTCCTCAGTTGTGGTTTGTCTCTATGAGTGTGCGCCAGACGGTGCGACGACTCCTTTAACGGCAAAAGCATTTCACCTTGTGCATATTAGCCCAGGTTTTTCTTCCAGATGCACCTCTGTGCCCATGTTTACCCTCTCGTTCTCTCTCATGTGGCTTTTGGGAGAGGAAAGTGAATCTCAAATGCCCCTCCCCTCAGGAGAGCCCTCACAGTTCCTGTACAATATTCTTATTCAAAGCTTCTGGGGTTGAATAAAATATTGTGAAATTCCTCATGTTCTTTCCTATATCTTGCCTTCCCCAAACCCTTTTCATTCTCTCTCTCTCTCTCTCTCTCTCTCTCTCTCTCTCTCTCTCTCTCTCTCTCTGTTTCTC